TGGATTTTGCAAGTAAAAGTAAAGCTTCAAAAGACTCTGGTAACACTATAAATACTTGTGCAAGCAGCTGGCCCTCCACTGGGATTTCTGACTAAGTACCTCATATGTACCTTTTGCACTTGAGTTGCAGAGACGGCTTCTTGACAGCTTTTTACAGTTTTTACTGTGGTTGGTGGCAAGAGCCTGCCATGGAGAGAAGAAAATCACTAACTTAAGGAAGGATCATAAAAAGTGATTTTTTTAAAAAGAAGTGATGAAACAACAGGTAGGTCAATGATGTTTGTCTCCAGCCCTGCTTGCACCACAGCTAAATCTGTGCCTGTTGTAAATAATATGTAGTGGCTACTCGAGTCCTCTCCAGCACACTTTAAAAAACTATAATATGATTGAGGCCACCTGAGGAATGTGCTCACTATGTGTATTTGAAAAAAGCTTAATAACCCACAAATTAAGTAATCAGCAGCAACAGAAGTAGTGAAAGTCATTGCAATGGAAAAAGAAATGGTTAGCATCGATTGAGCCAGAATAATTAGGAAAAAACCTACGGGTGGAATATGGTAAGTGGAAAGAGCACAGGAATTGAGCCAGGAGCTCTGGATTCTGATACTGGCTTTGCCACTGTCTGGCAAATCATATTAATCCCTGTGAGCCTCAGCTTTATGATTGAAGTCTGCTAGGGGTGTCCAATGTTTTGGCATCTCTGGGCCATGCTGGAAGAAGAAAAGTTGTCTTGGGCCTCACAGTAAATACAAAAACACTAATGAAAACTGATGAGCAAAAAAAAGGTTTGCAGTAAATTTATGATTTTGTGTTGGGCCGCATTCATAGCCATCCTGGGCCGCATGCAGCCTCAGGCCGTGGGTTGGACACCCCTGAAAAAGATGAGGTAGTTCAAGCCCTGGGTTCATTGTTGCAGATGTATTCCCAATGTTTATCACAATGCCCAATTTATAATAAAAAAAAATCTGTTTAAACCCTTGGCTCATGTGGTTTAGTGGATTGAGCGCTGACCTGCAAACCAAAAGATCACTGGTTCAATTCCCAGTTAGGGCACATACCTGGGTTGTGGGCCAGGTCCCCGGTTGGGAGTGTGCAAGAGGCAACTGATCAATGTTTTCCTCTCATGCATTGATGTTTCTCTCCTTCTCTTTGTCCCTCCTTTCTCTCTCTCCCTAAAAATAAATAAATAAATTTAAATAAATAAATAAATCTTTAAGAAAGTACTTTATTAAAAAATCTATTTAAGTCATATTCAAAACTATTATAGAAGAATGAATTTGTTCTTCCATTTTATATTATACTTGATTATTTCTAGAATAATTTCATAATTTGCCAATCATTTCACTCTAAATCTTATATGTTCTCAGAAAAATAGTCTCCTTAGTTTCTGAAAGGGGCTGATAACTACTTTCAACATCTTGGTCAAATCATGGATAGCTCACCTCTGTTCTTTGGCATTTTGCCAGAACATTCATTAACTGTCATGATTCAGTACAACAATGTCACATGAACTACAGATAAAGTTTTGCCTTTTCTAGTGAATACACAAAGTAATGGTACTCCTTAGCATGTGTGGATAGGTGGTATCTCATTGTACAATAGCAGATTATTAGCAAAGTGTTTCTGTTATGATTCAGCTGAAGCTTTCTTTTGCTTTACAATGTCAGGATGTGCCCATCTCTTGCTATGAATATAGTATTCCCTAACTTAAAGAAGGACTAAACATCTCATATTCCCCACGGCCGATATTCTCGTTTCGATACATGGAGTGAATAAGCTATAGGAGGTGGCTTTGGCAAATTTGGAGCAACTGGGACCATGAGGCTGAGTCACAGAATACCTTTTGATCGTATGCAGCAGAGACAGAAACACTAACTTGCCGTTTATGTCCTGGTGAGTCTATGTGAACACTCTGTGGATGCACTTTTTAGAGCAGTTGTCATGAGTGCTGGGGAAACCTTTAGTCATGTGTCCTTTATTGTAAGCATTTGGTTCTTGTACTAAAATAATTGGAAACGGAATAACAATAGCGATCAATGCTTCCTCACACACCTTCCTGGGGTCCTGTTTGCACAGTACAATTTTAGCCATTTGTTATTTTGAACTAGGTATCCAGTTATTGATAATAATGTGTTTAATTTCACGAATATGCAAAGTTCATTTCTGAACACAGGACTGGGACTCAGTTTACATGGTCACCTAAAAATATTCACAAACAAGTTATTGATGGTCCTTCTTAAATAAACAAATGCATATCTTTCCTACTAGAAATATATAGAACTCTCTATTGTCTAATAATTTTTCTACTGTATACACATTGTGATGTTGTAGAGAGGATTTCAGTATGTGATAGGTCAATCTTGGCCCAAATCCAAGGGAGATGATTTAATTAAACTATCAAAACATCCTCAATTGTGGATTGTGGTATAACGTAATTGCCTCAAAAAGTCTCCCAACTTCCCCTAGGAGAATATTAAAACAATATCACACTATTTCAATGACTAATTAATTAATTAGCATCGGGCTAATGCCTGGCTCTGCTTTTCAATATAAAATGATTATGGATGCAAAAAAAAAGTATCCGTTATAGAGTTAATAGTATATTTAATTCCCAAAGCCACAGAAAATTTGAAATGATAAAAATATTGTACATCTTTAAAATTTCAATCACTGTTTTTCTTTTGAGGTCAAAGAGTTTAAAAGAAAAAAAGATAGAGGTTACAGTGTACAAATAAAGCTCACTGTAGTCTACAAATTGAATGGATCCAGTGCTTTTGGTCAATACTCTTAACATTTTCTCTGGCTATACCAATTTGGAGTCATTGTTAATTGATAAATATTATCTTGATTTGCAAAAATGTGGTTAAATGATTTCTAAAGTCACTTTGATAATATGAGTGCTATCTTACCTGACACTTATTGCTAAAATGTTGATATGCATTTTTACACCTGCCTGTAGTTTCAACTTTCAGCTATCAGAGAAGTGTCCCTATAATTGACAAAGGGAGAAAGGAGGTGGTAAGGTAGGTAGATTTTTCATGTCTTATCTTGTGATACATTCTGCAGCAGAACACTGCTATCTTCTAAATAGATCTTTTGAAGGCAGAAACAGGAAACACCCAGAGAGAAAGCTGTATAAACTAGGGACTGCATTCTTGTTCCTTGTGGCTTTGTTGTTTTGGAGAGTCTTCATGACCTCTCTTCCTTGTATTAGATAAAAACAAAGATATAAGGACTGATGATGTGATTCAGTGAGTTAGATACAGAAGTACCTCTGGCATCTGTTACTATCACTCTTTTATCCATTATTTCTGTTCCGTTAATGGCAGCAGACATTTGATTAACTACCAAGATTTGGAATTGAAGGGGATCTAAGACGATGGGTTATAAAATAAATCACATAGGTAAACCTCTGTTTCTTCTTCACCTCACCCATTCTTCTGTTTCCAGATTTCTGGCAGGCTGGCATCTGAAGGTCTTCACAGCAGGGGCAAGAGAGGGTCTAATTATTTCAAGAACAAGTTGATTTAAAAATGCATATTATAATAGCCTGGATATATATCATTTTTATACATCATCTTTGGGAAGAATTAAAAGCAAACATCCCCTCCCCCCAAAATATGAAGTCTGTCCAGAAGGTATCCAACCATGTGATGTGAAAAACAGATATTTTTTGAAGAGGATACAAGAAACATTGTATATAGGATGATGATGCCTCAGTCCACTTCAAAGTAGGCACCTTGAGACCTCACACAGTTCTCCCAATTGCCACCAGCTGCCTGGTTGTACTTTCCTGAATTTCATTGGTGGTCTGAAATCTCTTCCCTTTCAAAGGTGATTTTAGTTTCAGGAAAAGCCAGAAGTCACAGGGCGCCAAATCTGGGCTGGCGGGGGCTGAGTCACCTGGGTGATTTGATGTTTTGCCAAAAAAACCTGTGCAAGATGTGATGTATGAGTGGGCACATTGTCATGATGAAGCTTCCAATAACCAGTTGCCCATAGCTGCAGCCTTCTGAATCATCCAAATAGTTTCTCTAGAAAAATGTTCAAGCTTAATGCAAAATTTGATGCAGATTCGTTGCTCTACTCACTCAGTCATTTTGAATGTGATGGACACACAGAACACAGGCTCACTCAATGGTGTCTACCACCCTCAATGTACAGTGAATTCATCATTGTTTACACATGTGCATTCCAGTCCACTCTCCTTGGCTGCCAGGTTACATTGATGTCGTGTAAACCATTCTCGTTATATTAACGATGGCTGGACTTTTTCCTGACAGACCTTATGTATATACATTGGTAGATAAATTAAAAGGAAATATTAACAGTATAAAATAATTTCTAAATATTCACAGATTTTAAACTTATGCATAACCATATCAGAGAATGAGGACTACCTTATTTACTCCTGTAGCTTGAGCTGTGAGCAAAATCCCCAAGTGAAAAAGGGCAAAAATCCAAATATCCTACTAGTAATCCATATGTTATATATAGCATCCAACAGTTAGATAACAAATAACATTCACCTTAAGAATTAACATTTACTGTAGGCCAAAATACCAGAAAATATTCATTTGAAATTCAATTATATATTTCATTTCCTCACTGACTTTATATATCCAGGTCATAAAAGAAGGCAATTTTCTTCTACATGGCTTACACTGGATCAGATGTTACAGCCAGAAGTTACTGTTAGGAGTATCTCATAGTTCAAATGACTGTGAGGCCTCAAGGGGTAAATTAATTTCTTAAGGCCTAAAATTTGATTGTGAAGGGTTTGGAACTCATACCTTAGTGTTTTCATTGTCAGTTCAGTGTTTATTTTTCCCTACATTGAACATACTAGAAAGCTTCCACACTTGATTATTGTCAGTATTCACAAGGAGGTACAATTATTGGAAAATAAAAAATGAAAGATGAAGGGAAATGCTAATTATAAACATGATTACATATTAAATCCCATAATTTCATAAATCAAAGCTTTTAACTGTCTGGATTTATGTGACTGTAGTTATTCTAATATGCATTCTTTCTTCTAGACACTGTACAATAATGGCAGGTATGTTCCTGCTATAAAGTTCAGAGTCTTCTAGAAACTGAATGCATTCTTGAATAACACTGTCATGAAGAATGATTGTGTATTTAGACCTGTTTTCTAATAGGGACAAAAAACATCTTTTCCAATAGATTTTTTGCCTGGGCCATCAACACGGGAATATACTTCTCCAGGACGTCATCATATTCATTCACTGCCTTTTTGACAGCTTCATCATCTCTATTGTGTCTGGCTTCCTGTACTTGTATGGTGAGTTTCCGTAGCTGCTCAGTCAGCACTCCTGCTAGCCCGTCAAGCCTAACGAAAGCCTCTTCAGGAGCTGTCTGGCAAGTGATCACGGCATCCAAGAAGTCGTAGAGATAGGGTGTGAGGAGCTTGAAAGTCAAGTGGGCATTCTCCGCCAGGACATCTGCGGCCAGGTCAAAATACTCATACTTACAGTACAGCAGCAACAGGTTGCCAAAGGTCTCTGGGGGGAAGGGGTTCTGTTGGAGCAAAAACTGTAGCTTTTCAAACCCTTCCGTAGGTCTGGCATCCATGTTCATTAGTGCCTGGTTGTGCAGGGTCACAGGGTCTAACTCTTCCTCTGCCCTGGGTGGCATGTCAGTGAGGGTTTCATGGGCCACCTCGTAGTTTTTCAGTTGGTATTCTATGGCTGCCTTGAGGTTGAAGGCTTCCACCAGAGCAGTCTGGTGAAGGACTAACGTGTTGCCAACACTGTGAACATCAATGCCCTCGGTGTTCATGCCCACTCCTAGCTCCGGGTGCTGTCGTATGCCATGCTCAATAATGTCAGCGATATGCTTCAGCGCTGAGGCATACTGTCGATTGCTATAATAGGCCAAAGCCAGGTTGTAGGAAAGGTCAGGCTGGTAGCCCGAGGCCTGCAGGGCTGCAAAGAACTTGGAACAGGCAGCTTGGTACTGTCCCTCTTTGCAGAGCAAGCAACCCAGGTTGACCTGGCCATCTGACTCGTTCTCACTCCCACTGTCTTCTCCCCCTTCCCCACTCAGTAGCTGCTCCACCAGGCTCCTGGCCCCGGGAAGATCGCCCTCGCTGTACTTGATGGCAGCCTGCAGGCGAAGGACCCGGCTGTGGTAGGCGGGGTTGTCCAAGAGGAGGAAGGCGACCCGGGTGGCTTCCGGATAAAGGCAGGCCTTGTACAGGGCCTGGGCCTGGTACAGGCGGTACTGCTCCAGCTCCGGGTGCAGCTGGCTCAGCTGCTCGTAGCACTCAGCGGCCAGCGCGAACTCCTGCAGGCGGTAGTAGCAGTAGCCCAGCAGCGACAGGCCGGCGCGGCTCCTCGGGATCCGCTGGAGCTCTCCGCCCAGCAGCTGCACCGCGTCGGCGTAGCGGGAATCCCGAATGAGCCGGTACACCACCGCGGTGAACTCCCCGTCGGGGATCTGCGTGGTGCCCAGGCGCGCCATAGCCGCCCCCGTTGCTGTGCGTTCTAGTTACCAAGGCAACAAGCCAACCGGAAACGGAAAACTGCTTCTCTGGAGATTACTTTGCCACAGGAGAAAATAATAAAAAGGTATCACTGACGTTAGTCTCTCAATTACTGTTTCAGTCCTCGAAGATGAGTTGCAAAGGTCGTGAACAGAGAAGAGGGAGGGAACCCCTCCCGGTAGTTCAGGGACGGAAACTACACTTCCCGGCATGCACCGGTTAAATGCACCCAGGCTGATCGAGGCGTGGCCGCCGTGCTTTCTGGGGTATGTAGTCTTTGCCAGACGGAGACATCATCTGGCAGATGGGATTTCATGGACTTTTGGTTCCTGCGTAGAAGAGGAAGGTAGCTGGCTACCTGTTGTATCACCTAGGTCTCATACTCTGGAGAGAAAGGTTTACAGTCCTATGTTCCCTGCATTTATGAGCCTCATACAGTGCGCTGCTTGTAAATAGTGTCGTTTAGCGTTTTGTTTTTGTAAATTCATGGTATGTGAAAGGTGGAATATTTCTTAGGAATTCCCCTTAGAATTAGAGTAGGCTCTGTTTTTAAGCTGCCTTGAGGAAACGTTTTCCAAAAATCTAATATGCAGAAACCAAGCGTCCTTATTTTTGCTGTTTCCACAGGTAATGGGTAGGAAATGGTTTTGTGAATCTTATCTGGCATGGGAGACCTTAAATTTTAGAATCAAGTGTCTCTCAATCCCCTTTTTAATAAACAACAAGTACTACTGAGCAGATGTTAGCCTTTAAACTTGGCCGTGTTTACTCCCCCGGGTCTTCAAATTTCACTGCAATTAAGAAACCAGTCTTCCTTGATCTCCCTACATCTCCACTGATTTTCCATGATCTGCATTGGCCTGTCTAGTATGCAAGATAAATGCGGTCTGAACAGAAGTATTTGCTATCTATTAAAAGACTTGAGTGCAAGTCCCTTATCTGCCTCCTCCATAGTTTGACTGCCCCTACATCTCTTCCATGTGTACATTTCAGAGCCAACAGCAACTGTACATATGATATGGCGCTCTTTTAGATTATTTACATATATAAATTCTAATCTTAATATCCACCCTGTAATCTATATATTACAGATAAAGGGTATGTCTACTAGAAAATTTCAAGTAATTTGCTCAAGATCACACAGTTAGGTAATTCGTAGCTGTGCCATGATATCCAACAGCGAGTTTCAGTAGAAATAGTGACTGATGAATAATATTTCATATATTTCCTACAGATGAGTTTTTCAGGGCCCAGTGTTTGTGCCAAGTTGTATGATGGTCGATTAGTGTCTTTTTTCTCCATCAAAAAAAGCAACCAAGTTGGTTTCAACAGTAGAAATTTGATCTTCCTGGCCTGAATTACTGCTGTGAGCAGATGTTAGAAAGTAACTAGTGGGGATGGTATAGTTGCTAGTCACCTGGAATACCTAGGAGATGAGTTTTGCTGACTTATGATTGTGCTATCTTAAAACAACCAACTTTATGTACTCCTTCAGTCTTTTCCCTTGCTGAGAAATTGGTTGTGTTCTTCTGGGTAGAATTAGACAACGAAGCTTCCACTGCATGAATACCAAGGAAAGGACAATTTACCCCTGTTTCAGTGGGGTTGAATGAGGCTCTGAGCCACCTAAATTTCCCCACAGAAAACAGTTGATGAGGATCCCCATCAACCTATTTTGAGGCTCCTTTCAACCCAGCCTCTAGGTGCATCACTTAAGGGCCTTCAACCCAGGGAAGTACATGGTTGAGGAGGGACACTGGCTAGTGCCACTCAGTAATTGGGGATGAGTCAGGGAGAATCTTACCTCCATGGCTGCCTGACTACCCTTGTCCCTTGGAAACTCAGACTCAGTATTTTAAAGTACTTATGTATGAACTGTTACTTTGGATAAGTTGCTATTAAATCAAGGTAAGATGATAGAACATGGAAACAGGAAATTGCCTTGTATATCTTTAGTCTGTCACTCAGAGTTGCATCATGAAAGCATTTGCTTTAAATGGTTCCCTAGAAATAATATGAGAAATAGAAGGACAATCTGCTCTGCTGCAAAGTTCTCTGATCCCTACAGTTGAGGTTCCCTTCTTTGTGTTGGTACCTATCTGTGAGCGTGGCAGCTGAGCGGGGCAGGAGGGAGGCTGTGTTGGCTTGAATGTGCTGGCTTGAAAAAGGCAGGACATTCGGCTTAGACAGATGGAGCGCAGGGTCATTTTCAAAATGAAATGAGTGCACAAATCACACTGCGAAATTGGCATGACCAGGACTGCTGCTGTGATAGACTGACTTTTATTTAGTGTTTGATAGGTAGTTGGGGAATAGATTTGGGGTTTTTTTGGGGGGGGAGGGAATAGAGAGGAGGAGAGGGTGAAAGAAGACCCTTTAATCAATGATAGAAATTCTGGAAATCAGTAAATGGGGTGGGACATTATAACATGTTATAAAGATCACTTTGTTTCCAACAGAATCTTGAAAATCTGGAGGATGCATCAAAAAGTAACTGTATTGTGCCATTCCTAGCAATAAGAAAGCATTTAGTGGTTACAATAAAGTGATTTAGTGCATCATTGAAAGGAATTAGACTCTGGGAAAATGGTGTTGGATTTTGCTGCGTAAAGGGAAGCATGTTTACCACTTGGAAGAATTCCATTTTGGTAAAATGTATAGAAGCTCAAAGCATGATGTTTGCTTCTTAACATATTTATGTTTCTTCCTGACGAAATGTGAGATCATCAAATTCTATTTGTATGCTTAATCTATTTGTCATTCTCTTTTAAAACTAGTTGGAAGGTATGTCTTCTTATCTATCCTGGAAATGTGACCACTTCCTATTGGTAAACAATGGTAATTTATGAACCTCTCAACAACCACAGCTGTGGTCAGACATCTTTCTTAGTAAAGGAAGACCTTCTGCAAAACGATTTTCCAGTTGTTATTTCTTTCCCCCTTTCATTCCAGGCCATTTTCTGCAGGATGGCCAGTTTGGGCGGCTCAGTTATCATGTTTCCTCCCCCTCCCCCACCTTTCACTATAAACAGGGAAGAAAAGAATAAATTAGTGCCAAATTGGTAATGTAGTTGACTGACTTTCAGGAGCATCTGTTCAATCTTTTAAGACTTTTGGAAAGATTCTATTCCAAATTAATGCTTGGGAACATTTACATTCAGATGGTGAGACATTTAACCTCATTATGAACTCTTCTTTCACTGGTAGTTCCAGCTTTATTAATATTTTAATTAGATTTTCTTCTTGGCTATATTTTGTTTTGTATCAAGTCGTTTATATTTGGGGGCTTATGGTGTTATGATCTAAATTAACTTATCAGGGAGATCACAGTAGCATATGGTTTATAAAAGGAATTAGAGAAGGCACAACTGTGGATACTGACATTTAAAAATAATCAACCAACCATTCAAACAAAGAGCTATACTAGCCCTGGTGTTCAGGTTCTTTCTGTACCAGGACCAGGTCCTGCTTTCCCTCATTAATCTTTACAGCTCTTTTGTGAATTCGGTGATTCTTATTGTTGGCCCCACTTGAAAAGCATGGACTACAAAGCACAAAGACGCCACCGTTGCTGAGCCAGCACGGAGGACCAGTGATTGCTTACGTTGGCCAGTAGGGGCCACACTGTACCTCTTCCCTCTCGCCCCCCGGGCGTCTCCTCTTCAGTCATTTGAATTGGCTTTGGATCATTTGCTGCAGTTTGTTCTAACAGAACAGGCACAATGGTGTAAGAATTTTAAAGTTTAAGCACCGAAGCCGTTGTGTAATTGTATGGCATCCGTGTGGCTGGCGGCTCTGCCGCGATACGATCCCCTCTCCCTCCCCCCCCCCCCCGCCCCCAGTGTAATTGCCCATGCAAATTTGACCAATCCGTAAGGACTCAGGAACCTGCATTTGGCTGCAGACTCTTCTCCTTCCAGAAAAACTTCAATAATATGAATTATTTTGTCACTTTTAAAATGCTCCACGGACAGGGCGGTCCCAGTATTCCTCTCACACAGGCAAACACCACAGATCAGGACAAGGTTAATGGGCTAAAAGTGACAGGCAAGATTTAAATTGTTGGTATTAAGATATGTGCTTGGCTCTTTCAGCCCTTAAATCACCCCTCTCAAGAGAAAGATTATTCCAAAGCTTTAGATTTGTATAGACATCCAAAGATTTAAACTTTAAGCATTTATTAAAAACAAAGATATTTAGGTCTCTTAAAGCAGCAGACTATTTTAAAATCATGGATTAGTTGCTTGTGAAATCACCAAGCCATGTATAATGTAGTATTCTTACAATGAACCATCAGCCTGGGAAATCTACACACAGGGAGTGGCTTCAGACAACTCAATTGAAAACATATTTCCCTCCTTTTGTGTAAAACAATAGTTAGGAAGCTAATCAGTAGAAGATCCTTTTTAGATTATTGTATGTCAATATAAAATGGCAAAAGCAATTTTTCCCCAAGGGAATGAGACTCAACAAAACCTAGCCTCCTATTATTTCCACACTATGCTGTTTATTTTTTAAAATTCATATAAATATGATTTAACCTAAATCTGGAGGAAAAAAATGAGATTCTAACACAGACACATATACACACAGCAAATGAACACAGAGATAAATGACGGCCTCAAATAACATTTTTTTTCCAGAGCAAATACTTAATTTACTGAATAAAACAAACAGTTTTGGACCAGTGTATACATTCATCGATACTGGTATAGATTTGATACATAGATAGACAACTTATCGGTAGCACTGTTAAGAGATGTACCAAATATGCAAGAACGTTCAAAATTAAATTAGAAAAAATGTACAATGCAGCATTCTGAGCTGAGGAAAAGGTACACGACGTAAGGAGGACATGGGTCATCACTGAGTCCAGGTGCTCATCATGAAATTCTCCAGACACACTTCACTTTATTTCTGCCAGCTATGTGTTTTATTCCATTATTGATCACGTAGGAAACTTGTGAAATTCTGGCCT